ATTGGGTGAATGAAGAACTGAACGCACCTAGAAAGACGTATTATTAACCCCTTCAGTGATAAGTTCAAAACATTTTATCTCTCTACTGACAGCGATACAGTTGCTTTTATGTCACTGAGATTTTGGTAGTACATCAAGACATTCATACCTAGTTTATTACTTTCTATATTCTTGTAACTTGTCTATCCTGATAACGTATTGTGATAAGAAACTAGATTTGATCAATTGTGGGGAACAACAGCTTGGTAGGGATTTACTGGTAGAGATGAATCAATTTAATCAACTCTCAATCAACATGAGCTGGAATTTACAATTTTGTAATGTACTCAGTCAAGTGTTGTTGTTTTTTTTTTCCCCGCTTACAGCTTTTGCCTTCCATGCGAAAATTCCAAGGTAAGTCAATTTTGTTTACTATTCGCATTTGGTGCTTCTAAGCGTCATAAAAGTACTTTAATTGTTAATCCGTGTGCGACTCTTCCTTTGGATGATTTTACTAACCCTCTAACTGCACATTTTGAATAATGCAGCTCAGCATGACGCATCGAGGAATACATGTCTGTTGCTTAGCAACCGTGTGACGGAAATCAAGGTTTATTCATGTATTTTTCGCGGATAGTATATTGCAAGCGGTTTTTTAGAATGAATTACGTTGTTGACGTACAAATGATGTCGTCACACCAGACAAAAAACATAATACTACAGGCGGAAATTATTACAATACATGTCAGGAGGATTTTCTTGACTGTTTCTAAGGTCTGTCCGTTCATGGCTACAAGACAAGTTTTCAAATAGGAAAATTGCATAGCTGTGGTATGATCTGATTCTCCTAGAATAATGTTTTAAATGGTTCCTTTCAGCCTGCATGTGGATGTCCAACAACACCACCGCCAACAACAACAGAGCGAACAACAACTGAACGAACCACAACAGTAAAAACAACGGCGGCGACTACAGAGCTTACTACCGGAACTGCAACAACTATGGCTACAACGGAGTTAACCACCGGGACTGCTACAACCGCAGGTACAACAGAACGGACAACTGTCACTGGGACAACCGAAGCGACAACTCCGCATACCGGCGAAAGTACTACTCCATACACTGAAACCACACCCGCACCTACAACTCTCGGTACAACTCCACCACCGACCACCCCACCCCCGTGCGAATGCGCTGACGGAGAGACGGGGATCCTTGACGAAAATGGAAATTGTGATTGTCCACCGTAAGTGTGTAAAAGGGACTCAATGAACAGCAATAACTACAATAAAAATCTTTATTTGGTTCTTAAATTTACCTTTTTAGAGTTAGACTGGCCCGTACATAGCTAGAGCTAGCCTAGAAGGGCCAGTTATCAAGATCAAGAGATAATCAACATAAGCTCTTGTCAATATCTAATTACAAATTCATTGTTGCATAGACACTTAGAGCGAATTATTTGAATCGCCCAATTGTAATATCGAAATTGTTATCGCAGTTTGTGGAATAGAGGCTTTGAACACTGCAGCTACAGTGTAAATAGTAAAGAACAAAAATATTTATCAATCGGAATTGCTTAAAATATGCTATTACAGTTTTTAGACCCGATTTCCCTCTTTTTCATCAAAGGATTGAACGACACTTTTTCGAAAAGAAAAAGGGGTCCTGCCAAATTGGAGGGCAACCCTGAATATAACCAATTTTGTCGATATTGTCGGTTTTATCATTTCCAGCCTCAACACCGTTAGTCGTCCTGACTGACCTTTTTTGACG